AAATGTGTCCTTTATTCAGATTAGTATGTATGCAGTGAAGCAGTCACACACTGTTGGTACACATTATGTACACATTATCATTTTATGGTCCAGAACGAAGTGTCCGATATAATATAGAAAAGTTTCTTTTTTACAGGGTCTCTTTTCACTGTATATACACTATATATAGGTCATCTGCAATGCAATGTAGCTAGCTTGTATATGGTAGCTCCTTTCAAGAAAGGAAGTCTGGGAGACAGTGAGAGAGAGAGAGAGAGAGTGCCTCAGTTTACATAAGTTAATGAAGGACACATCAGTTGATCTATTATTAGGAGTTCCACTGTATGACAGTAGTGTAATGTCCCTCCTCCACAGGTGACTACAGATAATACATGAGGAAGAGAGCAGACGGAAGTGTAGAATTTGTGAAAAAGGAATACAAAAAGAAATTCTCGTCCAAGTCCATTATATAGAAGGGTGAGCGATAGCTATAGCGTTTTATATAGAACACAAATGCAGCCACCATTCTCAGCTACAATGAGTCCCAACTTGCTAATGCTTGTGACATGATTGTCACATGTTGTTGCCAGTTTTTGGAGGCGAGAGAACTTTGCAGAGCAGCGAGAAAACCCTCTCAAATCAGAGATGACCTCGCAGAGAATGTATCTTTCTTTCTGTCTCCTCCTATCACAATGTATGTATCTTATTCTGCATATATACATATTATGTGAAACCGACATTTCAAATACTGCACAAAGTTTCCTCTTCGCTTTCCTCTCGACATTCGTTTCTTCTGTCCCATTGTTGTTGGATTAGACAGGGGTTCACTGCATTATTAATCTTATGTTCTTTGACGTACATTTGAGCAAAGCACCATTCATGTGATGAAGGACAGGTGCATATGTGAGTAACATCCTGTGTTCTTTTCAACTTGCACTGTGTATGTAGCACCATGGAGCATTCTACATTATGTATACATGATGCCTTGTGTTGTGTTGTGTTGTGTTGTGTTGTGTTGTGTTGTGTTGTGTTGTGTTGTACCCCTACCAGCTGAGTTGCTGTGGTATCTCAGTTGGTAGAGCGCTTGTCTAGACTGCAGACTGCATGAGTGTCATGGGTTCAAATCCCACCTAGGGCAGCTCTTCTTCTTTTCTTTCAAAAGAAAGAGCTGTCCTGGGTGTAGTTGACTTGTTTGTTGTGCCTTTGCCTTTGTACCTCGTTACAAAGTTGTTGAGACATGCCTGGGGTCACGTTATTCTTTTTCCAACAATTTCAGTTCGAAATCAAAGAAGAAGGTAGGTGTTTTGTACTCCATTTATTTTTATCGAAAAACTTACATTCTATTTTCTGTTTCTTGAAGGATTCAGTTCATGTGTTCTGGACAATGGATAATTATTATTTGTTGATGGCTTTGTTTTCGTTGTGGAATTTTTTGTTTTGCGGGTGTTGTAATAGTAAGGTATTGTGCACCTTATGTAAAAGTATGATGGTTTATCACACTTTTTTCACTGAGCTTTTCTTTACCGACGTTCTAAGTAGGGATGGCATGGGTCAAATCTCACGTGATCCTCGTATATACGAAACACCATAAAGTCGGCGAGAACGCCTAGCTATGCCTTCAAAATACACCAAGATTCAATCACGGGCCCGTATAATATCTACCTGTACATGCACAAAAGTTTCATATATCCCTCCAATTCTCGACACCGCGAGAATCCACTCATATGCGATTTCATGATTTCGTGTCATTATCAGTGGAGTAGGAATAAGGGGGGCCGGGGGGGCAGGGGCCGGGGGGCCAGTGCCCGCCAATAGATTTCATGGGGGGCCTGGCCCCCCTAAAATTCTATGCAGTGGTCTAGAATTATTATGCGAATGCATGGCATTTTTGGCAACCAGGAGCGAGCACACCGCTACTGCATCTGCATGAGGCATATTCATTAGAGCTGCACCTTTGAGCCTGAAAGAGTGGAAATCTTTTGGTTTATTGTATCACTAAGTACGGTATAGAGGGATTGGCATGGTATCAGAGAGGGATGACACGAGTGAAATCTGCGTACAAAACGCCTCAAAACTCAGCGACAATGACTCACCATGCCTTCAAAATCACTAGCAATAGTCTAGAGGCCAATACCTAGCTATATATATGCCCCAAGACTTCCTACATGCCCTCAGTTCCCCACGAGAGAATTCGCACTTACGCGATTTCGCGATTTTCGTGTCATCATCATCATATTCTTCTTCTTCTTCTTCTTCAGACCCGCTAGTTCCTTACCGGAAGCAGTTGAAGCGTTGATTTTTTCACAGAACGTCTCCAAATTTGCCGGAGGTGTGCACGCATATCAAGCGAACGCTTGTTTCTTACCGCAAGTCACTACGGTAGATCGTTGAGCTCTTCCACGGTAGTGTGCGCCGTGTTACGCGGGCCTTGTCCAGCGCCTTCATTATTTGTCCCCCAGGTTATAGCTATCATTGTAGTCTGATTACTGAAGCCTGCATACGAAACCACCCCACCATAATAATATGTGCCGCGACCTAATTGCATCGTTGTTGGAGACACTACGCATACACCCTGCTTCAGGTACATTAGCTTCTGCTTTCAACAGTTATCTCTACAACACCCATGAACATCAGAGTGACTGAAAACTGCAGAAGGCATGAAAAATAGTGGAAACAAGTGGAAAAATCACAACAAAGATGCACCCAAGCTACATGACACCATCCCTATATCTTTGTGTTATATATTATAGTTCACAAGTAAAGTTTACTATGAGACAAAGATATAGGGATGGTGTCATGTAGCTTGGTGCATCTTTGCTGTATAATGACCCCTTGTTTCTTCCTTTTTGGTGCTTCAAGCCATCCCTATATCCCCCTTCATTTTGAAGAAATGATTTTTCCACTTGTATACCTAGCATCATAGATGTATGGGGCTATGAATGATAGGGAGTTTTGTTCTTCTTCAGATTCAACACCCATAACTCAAAAATGAAACAACATAAAGTAATGAAATTTTGTAAGAATGTAGGTATCCGTTATCCGAAGAGACTGGTCATACTTATTTTCTTTGTAAACAACAACAAATAGCCCCGGGCAATACATTATAATGGATCACATGTGTCAGTATAACTCACAAATGGCATGAGCTATGTGAACGAAACTTTGTACACGTATTCAATCACCAACAATAAAAAATCACGACAACACATGTTTGTAAACAACAACAAATAGCCTCAGGCACTTTTCTTTAAATTTACTTCTTCTCTTCTCAAACTTTCCAATGATAGCACACATAGAGATGAAACTTGGTACGTATGCCTTATATAATATCACTTCCTTGACGATTGCATGTTTCCATGACGACCACATATTGGGTGAAAAAGCTGCAGGCAATATTCTTTAATATTAGTTCTTCACTCCTCAAACTTGCTAACGGTAGCACGCATGGAGGTGAAACTTGTGTATTACATCGTTTCCATGACGACCACAACAACAAATAGGCTTACTACGGCATGATCGATCCGCGTACCTCGGAGGCACCAGAAGATGCAACGCAGGGCGTGTATCGCTTCTCGGATGCTATCTAGTAGTGTAGTTAGCCCGCCTCAGGCACTTTTCTTTATTATTACTTCCTCACTCCTCAAACTTGCTAACTATACCACGCATTGAGGTGAAACTTGGTGCGCATGTGTATTACATCGTTTGCATGACAACTAAAATAAAAAATAGCCCCAGGCACTTTTCTTTAAAATTACTTTACTCCTCAAACTCGCTAACTATAGCACGCATGGAGGTGAAACTTGGTGCGCATGTGTATTACATCGTTTCCATGACAACTTTAACAACAAATAGCCTCATGCACCTTTCTTTAAAATTACTTTTCATTCCTCAAACTTGCTAACTGTACCCTAGCCCTATAACTCCATGGAGGCGAAACTTGGTGCGCATGTGTTTTACATCGTTTCTATGACAACCACAACAACAATAGCCTCAGGCACTTTTCTTTAATATTACTTCTTCACTCCTCAAACTTGCTAACTGCAGCACACATGGAGATGAAACATGGTATGCATATCATTTCCGTGACGACAACAGGCATTTTTTCTCTATTATTAATTTTTATAGGGGCTTGCCCCCTTCCACAGAGATAATACGTAGTAGTAGCTATATAAAAATGAGTGGAGACAAGTAAATTAAAAATCCTGCGAATTAAAAAAAGAGGCATAATTATAGGGATGGTATAAAAAGAAAGGGAGACAAAGATAGGGATGGGATACATGAAGTATGGTTAATGAACAAATTTGAGTACGCTGACACCCCCAACCCCATCACACAATCCCTATATTGTTGCCTAGGTGAAGTACTAGTGGAAATGAACGAACGACTAGGTTGGCTGGCTCCCACTCGCCAATTAAACATTCACCATTACAATACTCAGAACTTGCAATACATTACTGAGTAACCAACACCCTTATGGAGTCGAAGTGGAGTTTAATTAAAGGGAATGTGGGAGTATAAATGTTACTAAACAACGGGGACATGGTGAAAGAATGCTTGCTTTTAGTAACCTTTAGCCCCTATAAGAGTAGCACACCAGGCAACAATATAGGGATTGTGTGACGGGGTTGGAGGTGTCCCCGTTGTTTAGTCGTGTTAGTGTTGGTCGTTTAGTTACCTGCACAAAATGGGGGACGAAGGAGATCAGCTCATGGAGAAGGTTCTTCCGACTCTGTCTGACTTTTGCGTCTATGTTCAACAGTAAGTCGCTATACCATTCAAATGCTCTACACACACACAGCTCACATGTACATATGTACCCAATGTACATGTCTGTCTCTATTGGATATCCGTGTAAAGGTATGTGGAGAGGGAGCTGCTGCCAGCTGAAGATGTGGAGGAGAAGATGCAGAAACAGTTTGTGTGTGTCCAGCTCCTCTCCATATTCTCAGTCATGGACCTCTCGGATGAAGTCGGGAGGTTAGTAAGTCTGTGTACCAGAGAATTCGCTTCATTGCCCAGTAATGTACATCTCTGGTGTTGATTCCCCATTGTGTGTTGCTGTAGACAGAGACTGGGTAAGATGGTGCTGGACCTGCTGACTCTACCCGGCCTACCTCTGGCTCTGGTCTCTCCTCTCCTCTCCCAGCAGACTATTCTCTGGCCTCAACCACACACTCGGTATACTCACACTGTACATAGACAGAGCAATTTTCACAATTATTTCCCCCTGAAACACGTACTTCACTAACCTGTGAAGATTTAGCAGGAACTTTCCGTGTGAATTTTGGCCCATAACAAATGAATGTGTATATACTTCAATTGCATGTGGACACATGGTTTTTTTCAAAGTTTCAAATACCGGGTTGTCATTAATTTCCCCCCATTCAGTTAAAACTGTACCACTCTGAGATTCTATCTCCTGCTCTCCCTCTCTCTCATCCAGTGTGGAGAAGTTGTTGGAGGTGATAGCCGACCTACAGCAGCCCTCTCTCTCCGCCACCCTCTCCTCTGGTGGAGGCGTGGCTCCTTCCTCCTCCTCCTCCCAGTCCACCTCAGTGGATGAGTCCCAGATGAACGCTCTCTCCAACCTCTCTCTCTTCTTGACACCCACACTGACCCCGACATACTAGCTTAATAATAATAGAGGCAAGGCCATACGTCACGTTTTTGGCTGACCTGGGAGATGTAAGACTGAAGAATAGTAGTCGCAGGTATCAACCCCTTTACCTTTGAACCAAATATTAATTATGTTGTAGCATGTGGTAATGTCCCTGCTGCGATGTGTGTGTAGGTGTCTGATGATAGCTACTGAGATGCTGAAAGAACAGAGACTGAGGAAACTGCCTGTAAACATAAAGACAATGGTCGATGTTCTGGTAAGTACACATCTCTATAAACATCAGTGAGAAAGGCTCTAGATTTCCCCTCTCTTCTCCTGCAGGTTCTCCCCTCCATTCAGAGTGAGCTACCTGACATCCGAGACCTGGCCTTTTGCTGTCTGGGTCTGGCCTGTCTCCACGACGTATCTCTGGCCAGAAACCATCTCCTCCTCTTCCTGCAAGTTAGCCACCATCACAAGCAGCAGAGTATAATACTACAACACTACATAGCTTTTGGTGAGGGTTGATGTAGCAGATGTAGCTAACAACATGTCTATTTGATGTATTCAAACATAGCAGATGTAAATACTGAACAGCCCAAATGAGATTGTCATGCAATTTCACCAGCCCACCACTATCAGTTAGACATTGGATTCAGTAATAGTAAGCAGCAGTGATCTGTGTTAGATGATGGTTGATGTATTGTGTGTGTAGGTGAGTCAGGTGGACCATGAGTCAGTGCAGGCCACGGCAGTGAAGGTAGTGTTTGATCTCCTACTTCTGTATGGGTTCGAGGCCTTCAGCCTCACCTGTCCCGGCAGCTCCTCCAAGACCAAGACTCCCGACACACTGGACCAGGCTCATGTGAGGCTGTGGAGTTTGAGATCTTTAGATGGAGAGTCTTTCAGACATTTGTAGGCCTGCTGGTGGCCCTGGTGTGTATAGCAACTGTAGCAAGGACACTCCCTAGAGGCTTTTATCGCACGTGGAGACTGAAGTGTAGAGTTAAGGTTTGCATGATAAGTTACTGGAGGGACTTGAAAGCTGGGTTGGATGAGGTCTGACTATGGTGTTTTCCTCCGTCTAGGAGACTCTGGTGGCAGATGGTGAGGGTAAAGAGGTGGAGGGTGGGGAGAATAGCGAGGAGGGTGAAGAGGGAGCAGGGGAGGAGGGTGAGACCAAGAAGATAACTCAGAGAATCCTGGCCACCATGGCAGACTTCCTTGACGGTACTTACAAAGTGGTGGAAACGTGCAAGGGTCACATGATTTGTGTAGCTATAAATAAGTCCCACTGTAACATTTCCCATGCGAACGAAAAATAATGGTCAAAAATTGCCACCATAAGCCAATACTGTGTATTGTAACTCTGCAGAGTCCGGTATTGAGAGGGATATCAGGGGAGGGGCTGGCCAAACTGCTGCTGAGTCGTCGAGTCATCAGCCAGAAACTGCTCGCCAGACTCCTCGTTCTGTGAGTAGACCCCTCCACTGACGAAGAGGCCAGACTCCGTGCAGTTCTGGGGATCTTCTTCTCTGCCGTTGCCTCCTCTGACAGGTACAGTACATCTCCTTGGTCTCTGTGCATGTATAAAGTTTTAAAGAGAGGATGCTAGCTCTTGCAAATTAAAAATGTTGATCAAACTGGATTCAATATAACAGCCTCGATAGCAGCTACAGAGCACACATTTCAACGCACATGAAGAGAGATCACGTGATACAAAAGAAAGTCTCCACCGTTTTGCTCCGGTGTTTTTGGTACAGTGCATTCGTGACGGATGCCTTCAGACTTCAAATAATCTTTGAACTTTGTAGACGTGTACTCTCCACCGCTGTCAGTACGAATCGCCTTGACCTTCCTCCCATCCGGCACTGAACCTTCCAGGTGGGGTAATTCGACCCGCACAACGGGACAATCGCGACAGACTTCGACTCAGCCATAGATCCGAGGCTTAGCAGTCAAAAAGAAGTGTAGCTAGCTTGTTAGGCCTTACAGGCTGGACCCATAACCTGTTGAAAATATTGATCAAACTCGATTCAATATAACAGCCTCGATAGCAGCTACAGAGCACACATTTCAACGCACATGAAGAGAGATCACGTGATACAAAAGTAATATTGGATAAATGGAATGTCCAGTTCTAGTACAGTTCTGGTGCAAGTGTTTCTTTCCAACAGTTTTATCCGTCAAATGTTGTGGGTAGGGATGCATTAGCTAAAAGTCGCAAAACTATTTTGCATTTGTTGTCTGAATGGGCGCCATTGTTTCCTGAAGGAGCTGTCGAGAGATGGTTGGAGAAGTGTTCGTGCCAGTTCTAGAGGCAATATCAGAGGCCCCTGCAGAGTCTCTGAGACACGTCGACCTGGATCAGCTGGCAGACTACCTGATTCACCTCTGTGCCCCTCAGGAGCCAAACGTAGGGGGAGAACCCTGTGATCTAGCTGCTAATTAGCTGGGTTTGTTGCTCGTCCGCAGGGGGACTCTGTGCACGACAGTCTGGCAATAAGTGTGGCTAATGCTGTTCTGTCGGAGCCAGAGAACAGTGTGCTCACTAGGGTCTACTGCCGCTCGCTGACACACATGCAACTCTCCTCCTCCAACAAGGTGGGTGGACGCACACACACATGTTGTACAGGCGAGGTAAAACCCTCCCGTCTTGGTGCATCTACCAAGCACCTCTTGTAGGAAATATACATGTCCATTAATCAATCGCACGGTAATGGAGAACAAGTGCCAAATATTCACAGAGTTGCCAATTTTATGGGAACACTGAGGATATTTCATGTATATACCTTAGTGCCGTGCATTATGCTGTTAGAGTAAACTATGCATTAGATGTGTAGCTATGTTTTTCTGGTCCGTATGGGTGATGCGTAATATGTCTCTTATGTGTATCTTAGGCGGAGTTGCTGATTCTGACGGAACAGATTGAGAGAAACGTGGGTGACAAGAGAAGTCCAAAAACGTCGTTGGGTCTCTGAGGAGCAGTGAGGGAGGTGGGGAAGGAGGAGGAGAGGATGTGGGAGAAGAGAGGGGGGAGTGAGATGAGGGTGAGGAGGTGGAGGAGGCAGGCGATGAGGTGGAGGGAGAAGGGGACAGAGAGGCTGACGATGCAACAGCAGATGGCAAGTTGGAGGAGAAAGACGTGGAGGAGGAGAGGGAGGAAGTTGGTGATGACACTATAGTAGCTTCTGCCACCACTCCCCCGCGACATGCTAGTCCTGTCGGCATTATACAATTAGCGCATGCGCATTTTTATCGCGCTCCCCCCGGCCCTCCATAAGTGCCATCTAGCTATTTTTATGACGTGTTGTTAGCGCGCGGACTAGGATTTCATTGGTCCAATGTGAAGCCGGTCGGGTTGCGAAATGCCCATATAATAAGGAAGCATCAGGCCCATCGCTTCGTTGCTCAGGAGGACGCGCGCATCTGAACAGACGTCTCTTCCAAGCATCAGATAACTTCAAAACTCCGCACTCGGGCATGGATAACGATGATCCGAGATACGATCCAAATTTTGCCTGGGAGGAGAATTGTTCAACTGCAGTCTACCCGCAGCTACCACCAGCCTCCCGTTCGTCCACTATTCTAAGTCATCCTTACGAACTGGTGAGATGGTGCCTGGAAATAGGGTCCACGCAGAACCCGTACAAACTATGTGATTTGCTGGAAGTACAGCAGTCGCTGTTGGAGAACCACAAGGATGCATACGATGCCATAATGGATTGGTTGGTGAACAAGGCCGAAATCCCTGCTCATAGAATACTCATTGATAACAAGATTACAGGCTTGATAGGCTGCCCACTGCTATCGACCAGCGAATGCAAGAGACCTGATCTACAGGTAACCAGTGCCAACAAACGCGTCGTGCAGATAGAGGTTGATTCTGGCAACCTGGAGAGTACAGTCAGAAAACTCGGGATAGGGCTGGTGGACCAGCTTCGCTGGTTGAGGAACCACAGGACAATCATCAAGAAGTGTAGCGGGTTCTACTTCATGAGCGGTAGTAAAACAGGTCATGTCCTCCACGTCGAAGTTGTGTGGAAGGAGGAATTGCTGAAGTTCGTCGGAGGCTACCCATGGGAAATGTAGCCACCAAGGTCAAAGAGGTCCTGCGTGAAGCTCAACTGTCACTGGATTCAACGGCAGATCGGCGCATGTCTGGTTTTACACTTCCCATTTCATTCGACTTCATTCAATTACAGTTTGGAGATGCAGCCAAGCAAGTGCCCTCTGGGCAGTCAGTTGTCATCATCAATCCAGAAAGCCAAACGGCCTACAAGTACTGCCTTGCCAGTGAGGATCGCGACAGGCTAACTTCTCTACTGAATTTGAATCGCGCGGCAAGAAGTGTCTTCCCAGAGTCCTCAATGGCAATCGATAAAATTACATTTTTTACGTTCCCCCTCCTCAATCTGCCACTGTTACCTGAGGCAGCCCGTCAACAAGCAAAACTGTTTGTTCAATCAGTGTATGAGGCCATCAATGAACTTCACGTTACATTCAAACTTGCACACCTTGATCTGAGGCTGGGAAACATTTGCTTTGGTACTGGTACTGAGTATCATGTTGCAAAGTTGATAGATCTCGACAGGGCCGCGCTAGTTGATGAACCGTTTTGGTGTTCTGCACTCTGCGCTCTGCACATATCATGTACAAAGTCAAGGGAGAGGATTGGACACTAGGCCAACTGGACTGGCGGCAGTAAGAAGCTGGTGGAAAATGGAGTTTACGATTCAGGGTTGTTCACTAGCTGGGTCCCAGACGTTGACATTGTATAGATTTTCATGCCGTCCAATAGACGAGAGTTTTATCGTTCTAGAAATGTTCTGCTGTATATGTTTGTTCATTGCTTGATTGTTTAATCACAAGTTCAACCTCATGTACGCCAAGCATGCCTTCATCCACTGGTACGTGGGGGAGGGTATGGAGGAGGGAGAGTTCTCCGAGGCTCGCAGATCTGGCTGGAGGAGGTCGGGATCACCACCACCACCACTAATATAGCTACCTTTTGTTTCAGTACAAGGGTGAAAATGAATTCACCCTCGTTTTCTCCACACTGAAGTGGTTAAAGAAGGTTGAAGGAGGTTTGATGCAGTTGAACCACTCCGAGTACAAGTATCCTACACACTTCGTTCCACTTGCGTATAATTATGTCCATAGTTCAGTATGGCTAGGGTAGTAGATTGCATGCGGGAGTTGATATATGCCCTTCGTTGTGACTTCTTTTCCTTATCAAGATATATCACTCAGTACGGTAGTACTTAGTATAATATAGGGATTGACATGGTACCTAGCATTATAGATGTATGGAGCTATGATAGGGAGTTTTGTTCATCTTCTCCTTCTCCTTCTCCTTCTTCTTCTTCAGATTCAACACCCATAACTCAAAAACGAAATAACATACAGTAATGAAATTTTGTAAGAATGTAGATATCCGTCACTCGAAGAGACTGGTCATACTTATTTCTTTGTAAACAACATTGTTTATACTGTAAGCAACAACAAATATCCCCAGGCAATACATTATAATTGGATCACATGTGTCAGTATAACTCACAAATGGTAAGAGCTATGTGAACGAAACTTTGTAGACATAATGTATTCAATTACCAACATCAAAATCACAACAATACATGTTTGTAAACAACAACAAATAGCCTCAGGCACTTTTCTTTAAATTTACTTCTTCTCTTCTCAAACTTTCCAATGGTAGCACGCATAGAGATGAAACTTGGTATGTATGCCTATTGCATCATTCCCATGACAATTACATGGGTTAAGAAATACCCTCCAATGAACACTGCACGTTCCTCTCCTGCTGTAGTTAGTTCATCTGATGGTGAATACCTCATTGTGATTGGGGGGTCTGTTGGTGGTGTTGATTTGACTGCTACAGTCGAACTATTTCAAGTGAAGAGCAGAATATGGCACAAACTAACAGACTTACCACAACCTCTCCGCTACCTTTCAGCCACAATATGTGGTGATTAGTTAAATGTGATAGGAATTAAGGCTAATGGCTACTCGTGTTGTCTTGCAGCCCTACCACCCAGTGATCAACCAATCACATCACCTGTCACCCTATCCTGGAAACCTCTCCCTCCTCTAGCAGTGCAATACTCAACAGCTGCAACTCTCTGTGGACAGCTAGTACTCATTGGTGGCAGGCGATCTGGGTCACCAGTCAACTCCATTCACCAGGTAGTGGATGGGCAGTGGGTGGAGATTGGCTCCATGACTAGTGGTAGGAGTGAGTGTTTAGTAGCCAGTCCATCACCTGACAAGATCATCGTAGTGGGTGGATTTGGGCTGTTTCGCACACGAGATAGTACTGTTGAAGAATGTGTTGTTGTATAGTTTCATCCACTTTTTCTGTCCATTCTCTCATAATACACAACATTTCAACTCTCAAAACAGTTAGAGACATTGTGTGTTACTGTTTTTTGGTATATACAAGAATGGTGTAATGATGATGTACTGTCATTTCATTTTGGCCATGAGATCGTTCATGTCAAGCGAGACTGCGATTCTCTTGCGGTTCACAGCGGGTGCTGCAAAACAGATCCTGTCAGGGAACAAAGTTAATGGTAAATTGCTTACAATGACACATGCATGTGTGACGGGCACTTCCCCACCAAAATGTTCTATATACGTTATGAAGTGCAAAAACATGCCCAGTATATTATTATTATGTAGCTATAGGTGTTGGTTGAAGGTATTAAGCTGGGATAATCTCAGTGTTCTCAGATATAAATATTTCAAGGATGAAATGAACCATTTTTGACACCTTTTTTCATTGGGCATATGTGAGAGAGCCACATACTGTAATAATTATGCTCTAATTTGAGGCCATAACTCACTTTTTGAATTGCTCCAGTTCATCATCGTAGTCATCAGATAACTCATTTGACGGCAGATCTGAAAAGGAATAAGGAAAGGTTAACATTCTTACTCAGTGGCGGATCCAGGGGGTTTCTTTGGTTGCAGTAGAAACCCCCCTTTTCGGGCCACTGAGCGCACAAGCGGGGCGCCGCGTTAATTGAGCATACGCGTGGCTTTCTATCCCTGCGCGCGCGCATATGTATACGGCTATATAATTATACGTGGACTACGCTGTTCATCGTCCGATGCTCGGTCATATAGGGCTAAAACTAGAAAATGATGAACGTCTACTCATGACATATCACCTTTTCGACTGCTGCTTCAGTGAGCACAAAATGGTAACGCCAATCCCATGCTTCGAGGTGTGGCTGAAACCCCTTCAAACCTTGATCCGCCACTTTTACTATACCATTTGTTTTTGCTAATGGCAAGAGCTCGAACAAAGAATTATTTTATAAAA